GATCACCGAACGACGTAGCCGGATCCACGAAATGGGCGGTGGTGCAGCCATGACCAGGGCATTAAAGCGCGCCTTCATGCCATCCTTTAATGTGAGAAGCTGGGAGACAACAAGACGCTCGACCTCTCCGTTGGTCTTGTCACGGTTGGGAGCAATGGAATCAATTTCATCAATGAAGATAATGGCGGGAGAGTTCTTCTCTGCTTCTTCGAATGCTTTTCGCAGGTTCGATTCTGATTCACCTGCCATTTTTGACATGATTTCAGGACCGTTGATGAGGAAGAAGAAAGCACCAGTTTCATTGGCAACAGCACGAGCCATCAGGGTTTTTCCAGTACCGGGGGGGCCAAACATGAGAATACCACGGGGTGGTTTGATTCCGATAGATTTGAAGAGTTGAGGGTGGCGAAGAGGTAGCTCAACCAACTCACGGATCTGAGCCATTTGTTTTCGGCAGCCTCCAATGTCGTCATACCCAACATCGTTCAGGTTACCCTCCTCGTCCTCACGCTGGATGGGTTCACCTTCGCAGTGGATAACTGTGTCTTGAGCCACAATGCCGTATTCTGGGGGATCCACTTCGACGACCTTGAACTCTACCTGACGCATACTAGCTCTTACAGTGAAAAGGTCACCTTGTCGAACAGGTCGGTAGGCTTCGCGGAAATATGGGGCAAGGAAAACGTCAAAGAGAGAGCCGGTTAGACCCTCCACGGTATCCGCAATAGGCAAGACAGCGATTCGCTTGGCCTGTTATATTGGTATCATTAGTTTCGCGTTCAGGAAGAACGCCTGTTGGTGGGATTGAACATACGTATTTGATATCCGGGCATGGGTGGACGGTGATGACGTCGCCATGTTTAACCCGCAAGTTATGCCTAACGACACGGTTTACACGAGCGCTCCCATCATCCAGGTCATCATCAGCCAAGACAATCAGAACAGTATCTCTTCGCATTTTCCCCTTGACCAGGACGGTGTCACCACGGAACAGCTGGAGTGTTTCCATGGTGTTGTTGGAAAGCGCAATGATTGAGTTGTCATCGTTAACAGCATCAGTAACACTGCAGGCCACAACAAATCAGCGTGACTTTCTTTTTTTCTGATGGCTTATTCTAAAGACACTCACAGTAAGGTGTTTGGCTTTTTCTTCTTTTTTAGAATGGCTGTGGATGTGTCAAGCTCCTGGAGGGGAGACGGTTAGCGCCACTAACAATCAGAAAGTAGCAACAGCTCGAGAAAAGGCTAACCTCATGTTTTTCTGCACCCGAGGGGTCGCTGGAAGAGAACATTAGCATTTATCGTACTCATAGAGGACGTAGTAGTAGACAGAGACGTAGCCCAGGTACTCACGTCAAGTTGACCTTGTGCTTAGCGTGATCAGGTTCTGCAGACATGTTGGAATGGCACGAGGGAAAACAGACGGATGAAAGTGAAAGTTTCCGACAAGGAAATTAGAAGATAGAATGATTAGGCGATAAGGGAGAAGAAGTAGGTGGTTGTTGTTGAGATTGTGGTATTGGTGTCGGAGACGGAGAAAGATGGTTTTGAGCGAGATGATGAGATGAGGTTCAGCTAGAGCTATGAGGAAACTCGGAAGAAAGATGTCGCCGGGAAAACCACGTCAAACGCAAACACAACAACACATACGATGGTCTACTTTTCCTGTGGAGTATTAAGTGAAGGAAGGAATGAAGCTACAACAACAGATGAACAGAGAGCACAGAAAACAGAAAAACAACTGTGTCCTGGAGAGCTGTTGGTCGGCTTAGTCATGGGCGAACAGTTCAAGGCTGCCTCCAGGAAAAGTAGGGTCCAGCCAATCAGAGGCCGTCATTGGGGGTGGAAGCGGGTGGAAGACGCTAGAGCCAACATGGAAGTCACGTGGATAATTACAAATCAGCACACGACATCGTGGAAGCCTGGCCGGCATTGATATCTGACATACGGACATCAAGACATTGGCAATGCAGGACAAGCTGATACGCGGGAATGTCTAAGTTTCCTATCAAACCGGTGTACGCACATGTGAAATGTTCACTAACGCTTTGTTGGCTCTAATGTTTGCGCCTGCTTTGAGCAATCCCTCTACTCCGTCTCACAGGAGTATATCCAAAGATTGATGCAACGTATATTTTTGATATGGACTCATTTGGACACACAGGTTTTTGATTCTAAACCATCCTCATGAGTCCTTTAGCCGATGTCTGCGTGTCGGACATGATGAGTTCATGCGTCTCTGGAGATTGGATTCCATCTCCGCCATCTTCTTACCCAGGAGAGGGGGTAGATCCCTTGAACATACAACACTCCCATATATGATTTCTGCATAGCCGCCCCTCATCGCATCGTCTCTCGTGGATGCGATATTTTTGCTTCGGGATTTCAATCTTACTCTGCCTTGAAGATGACGGAAGAAGAACCCGTTTAGACGGCTCAAGCTGAGAGTCATTCAATCACTCTTGTTCCAACCGACCCAAGCTTTTGCGCCGGGGACACATCCTGTCTCATTTCTTTGAAATGTATAGCATTTCCGTGATGTGCCATATATTGCTTGCTTCGTATCAACTGGAGTGGAGAGGCTCGGTTGAGCTAGAAGGAAAAAGTAAAGGAAAGAAAGACTCGAAGAAGAGAATGGGCTACGCTTCGATGATGAAGGACGTTCTATCATCTCCGGATTCTCTATAATTTCTTTTCTTATTGCTTCCTTCACACGCATTACTTTTCTCTATTTGCTCAGGTATATATATGTATTTGTATATAAACATGCTACCAACCCGCGAAATACTTTTAGAGGGAAGTTGAAGTGAACTTCCTATATTCAACTGTCGTTTCTCTTTTATGAATCAGCTTCTCACAAGAAACCCATGGCACTTCTGGAGAAAGAAAAGAAGGATGATGCCACTGCGGACCACGATATCCCTGATCGCCTATGCCCGATATCCCCACCACACACCACCCCGTATCTCGCCTCCTACCTCCGCGTCCCAACCAACAATTTCACTCCAAAAGAGCTCTCCCAGAGCCTCCAAAATAACCCACCGATATTCTTCATCGGACCTGTCATGATACCCAGCATGTTGAAATACATCCTACCTGCTTACCCAACTCTGGACATGGCTCAGGACATAACCCTGGCAACCCTGCACGGCCAGACCCTCTACTACATATGTCCTCCTTCAAAGCCAGCAGCAGTCCCAGAAACGCAGTACCTCATGGCCCTCCAGAGCTCTTCCTCGTCCGCCACCACCACCAGCAGCAGCAGCAGCAGCAGCAGCAGAAGCCCCATCCCCCCAACCCCCACGCGCCTCACCACCGCCACGGCCCTCGTAATCTTCAACCCAACCGACTTCCAACACGCCCGGCCCCACCACTTCGCGACGCCGCCCTTTAACCGCATAATGCCCGCGCGCGTCACCATTCGTCTCTCGAACGGCGAGCGCTCAGCCGTCGATGCGTGGGATGTTGCACCACTTGCACCCCTCCTTGCGTCGGCGCTGTATAAGCGGGTAGACCGGGTCTTTGAGGCGTGGGATAGGGATGGGGATAGGGATGAGGATGGGTGCTGGGAACTTGGAGATGGAAACGATGGTGAGCTTGATGATGAGGGCGAATGTGAATATGGATGTGAGGAAGAGTGTGACGAGGAAGCGGATGGGGATCTCATCGTCGTTGCTGAGGAGGTGGATAGCGAGTGGGAGCGGGATGAGGTGGAGGAGGTGGATGGAGATGAGATTGAGATTGAGGGTGGGGTTGAGGGGGAGGGGGGTGGGTGGGGGAAGGGGGTTGGTGTTGATGTGTGTATGCGGATGGGAATGCGTCGATGGGAGGCGGGGACTCTGTGGGAGAGGTGCGTGATGGGGTTTTGGAGGTATTGGGGGGATTTGTGAGACGGTGTGCATTTGGAAAGGGGGGGGGGGTTGGGGGGGTGTTGATTTTTGGTGGTTTGAGGATGTTGGGTGGCAAGTTAATTGATGGCACAGAGTCGCCGCGTTTTTTCCTGAACCATTCAGCTTTCTTGTGTTTGAATAGGAATGAAATGGAAGTGTATGAGCAAGGACGAACCAATCCCATCCCTTCAACAAAAGAGAAAAGGAGAAAAAAAAGGAGAAGTAAAAAGAAAACCAAGCACAGAGGAATGGGGATAGAAGAGTAGGTTTGAACATCAAATAAACACCCGGTGTCAAAAACACTCTACATGCTATCCTATCCCCAAATCAATGCACCACATGAATGATAACTTGTACATAGTCCCCGAGAGTGAAACTGAACATCGTTAACATACCATCCCATCTTTATGTTTGGGTCACAAAAACCCAATATATATAATAACCTCCACACCCCACATGGGAAAGAAGAATTTAATTCAAATCATGACACAAGACACACAACTGATTCAAAAAAAAAAAAAAAAAAAAAAAAACCCAGTTGCATATATATATATATATATATATATATATATACATTGCTTCGCATAGCTAGACAAGACTCAACTAACAACAGCCTTTTAGTCCTCCCTTCTCTCCATCTACATCTACAGGACAAAAAAAAGGTTCCATTCAATTTCACAATGTGTCTTCTGAAATATATAATTTGTATTTGCATTTTCCAATTTGTGATTTGGCTTGCAACCAAGTATCTAGTTAGTTAAATCTTTGATATCCCTTATTTTCGCGTCATATAACAAGGATTTTTTAGTTACTTCCATTGTTTATTATATTTACACCCAGACATTGACTGTGCCGCGGATAAATTTGAAGATCTTCTTCTTCTCTCTCTCTCTCTTCTTTTTTTTTTTTTTTCATTTATTTATTCATTTATTTATTTAATTTATTTAATTTATTTTTATTTAAAGTTTTTTGGCTTCCTTTTTTCTTTCCAATTTTCTCTCCATTTGCCCTCTTTCTTGTTTCCCCCCTCTTTCGAACAAAACTTGCATTTTCATGTATATGTAAATAAATACCTTTTTGCTTCAAAACCATCCTCAATACAGAACAAGAAAAAAAAAAAAAAAAAAAAAGACCCATCATAGCTAGATTTTCGATTGTTGAAAAAAGAAAAGAAAAAAAGAAAAAAAAAGGGAAGCTTGCATTTATGAAATTACGACCAGTGATGATAATATTTTGTCGTGAGATGGTTTACTCGAAGGAAAAGAGCAAGTTGGAGAGGAGAGATCAAGCAAGATAAGAAGGAGATGATTGGGTGATAATTGAAGTGTTCCGTAAAACACAAGGGGAACTGAAGGAGAAAAAAGAGAAGAGAAGAGAAGAAAAAAAAAAAAAAAAAAAACAGGTAGATATATATATCACAGCTGCGCATGTCCGGAGGGGGGGGGACGACAAAAAAAAAGCTCGACAAATAACATTTATGTATTATTCTAAGGAGCAACCAGCCACCCAACTCCTTTTTTTTTTTTTTTCACTCCAACTCATGCACATTAGGCGGAGGCGAGGGCGGCATGACAACGAAATTCGTGCTAAGTTTTTTCTTCGCTGTCGCAAACGCCTTGGCCCGCGAGGGCTGGCATTCCGTTGAATCCAGCTCGACG